TAGAAAGTGAATCAACATCTAGGTCAGATTCGTGTAGTCCAATGTGCCGACCAATAACAGTGTCGATTTCGCATAGGTCATCGACCGTTCCAACACGGGCATTAAAGTCCCCCATTAGAATAACAGTATTATTATCAGAATAATGTTGCAAAATTTCGTTATATGATAGAAAGAAATGTTCGTCGCTGGCATAGTTTGTGTTTTTCGGTGGAATGTACACAAATCCAATAAAGAAAGTTCCTTATCTGCATGAAATAGAGTCTTTTGAGCCTTGGCCCACATCACAATATCACAGTCAGTAGGTATAAATTGATAAATATTCATTAATTGTTTCTTTAATTATTATACCAAGTCCACCAGAGTTTTTTCCAGTATTCTTTCTGTTTTTCAGATGCACGTTATAGTTTTCAATTTGCTGTACACCTATAATATCACCAGTATTGATGAGTTCTGTAAATTCTTGGTATTTTAGTTTATTCCTCAGTCGACACACATTTATGGATATAATATTCAGCTGCTTACTGCACGGATATTCAGTATCCAAATCACTGTCATTGTTATTCTCACATGTAACTGTGTTATTGTCCTCATGTCCACGGCGAGTGTCCTATGGGCGGCTGCCTTGTTGATTAACATTCATGGGCATATCCCTCGTTGTAGTTGCCCCTGTAGAATGAGACACCTGGGTGGGTACCCGGTAGGGTGGAGGCGGATCTACTTTCACCAACTTTCCGTTAACATACAGCCTGTCCTTCACCATATGACTACGTTGTCCTTCATCGTTAGCCTCCTTCATAAGAGGGTACAGTGTATTCTGTCTGTAGGTTCGAACCTCTTCCGGCAACTGTTCGACCACTCTGTACTAGGATCCCTTGGGTTTCCTGTAGGATGCATGTGTATCATCGTCTGCTAGCTGGGCATTTTTAACCGGGCTATAATTGGCCGAGGTTTAGTTGAGGTGCCTCTTGAAAGTCCTAGTCTGTGGGAGTTTTCAATATTCATGTCAGACATTTCTTCGACAAGATATCTGCCACTTTATCACCGGTGTTTTCTGGACCGGTGTCAGTACTAAGTTGCCCCGGAACACCCATAATAAGCAAATTTCTTGCCATAGACGTCATCTGCAGATCTACCATATTCTCTCTCAGTCTCAGCTGTTCAAGCCTACATCGTGCTAACTCTGCTTGTTTTATGTCACTCTGACACTCTCTAAGTTTGTGTTCCATTTCAGCTCTCTCGATTCTCCATTCTTCAAATTTATTGTTCGTGAATGTCATACTTTTATCTAGATCAGACACTGTTAGTGTCACTTTTTCCATTTCTTCCATTTTGTTGTCCAACCTTACCAAATGTAATTTAATGTTAGATAAGTCACTAGTCACAGTGTCAAGCTTAGATGTCTGTGTTTTAGGACTGCAAGTTCTTGAAAAGGTTCGCTTGCCCACAGAGGTGGTTTGTTTACCTCCCGTTGAGGTGGGGAGGGTAAGTTCGGTACAGGTGAGTAAAGGTTGGTAATGAAGATAAGGCTGGTGGTGGTGGTGGAATTGGGTTTAACGTCATGCTTGAGAATATTTCGCTCATATGACGACGTGCATGCGTGTGTATGTGTATGTGCGGCTGCTTGTACTAGCCCAGACTTAAGCTGGTTTTATAGTGCTAGCCCACTGAGATACCATGCCGCAGTGAAACATGAATACCCCACTCAGACACATTACCGACTCCGAGCCGACCAGTCCTTGTTGTACCCATTACTGCCTAGCGCCAGGCAGGGACCAACAAGTACCATATTTTAACGTCTTTTGGTATGACGCGGTCGGGGATCGAACCCGCGACCTTCCGCACTCCTAGCCGACGCTCTAACCACTACACCACGGAGGCGGTCTAGATAAGGCTGGTACATACATCGCTCTGTATCGTCAGTCCAGATTTGAGGAGCCCATTATGCTGCGATGTCGGATTGGTCATGAAAGAATTAGGAGATAAACGTACTGTGTTGGAAATTAGATGAATGTTAGACCGAATTGATAGTCTCTAAATTTCATTTGAAGCCGAACGCGTAGCGTAAACACACTATGTTTATTACCATTCCCACATGGGTACAATGTGTGAAGCCCATTTCTGGTGTCCCCCGCCGTGATGTTGCTGGAATATTGCTAAAAGCGGCGTAAAACCAAACTCAGTCAGTCAGTCCATTCTACCATAACCGATTTAAAATTGAACTTCCTTGTTCCGTGGAAGACACTGCATGATCCGGCATGGGACGAGAGGCGAATTGAACTCGTCTGTGAAGTGAGTGGTAGGTGCCGTTCGTATTGTTTTAAACATTTAAACATAAAAAATATTCTGTCCTAAGAAAACAATCTCCTGTTTATCCAATGCAATAATGTAATACCAAAGAGCTTGGTTTGTTATAAGCCCACCTTCACACGATCGAAACCAGCCTATTGGTTTGTGTGTCATGTCAAGTCGATGATAACACAGCAATCTCGTTTCCTGCTAACTGGGTTCCGTCCTATTGCGCAACTTAGTACAATAACTAGTCCAGAATTTTGAGACCAATTCATTCAAGTGGATACATAAATATTAATCAGTATTATTTGATACATCTAAGCACTTGTATATTGCAACACTACTCTCCTTCTACTCCTTGCAAACACCTCGTGCAGCATGATCTGTGCTCTGACAAACGGACATCTGGAAATCGTGGAAATCTCAAAACGAGGCTCTGCCGCTAGAAAAGTTTGGCGGTCTGATACGGACTTGATATTATATCAATCACATTGTGCGTTACAAAACTACACATATCAGGTGTAACCAGTGAGCCAGATGACTTGTAAATCATTTTTTTACCCACGTGGTCAACGTATGGGTAGTTGCATATTAATCTCGTACGTCACACGAGTGTCGTATCGCGTTGACCTGTGTCGTAACGACTTGACCTGAAATTCTAACGATTTGATTGGATAACCGATGACCTCTCAATTAGGTCACATTCTGACGTAACTATTTTTTCATTCATAACAAACACGTGAATTCATTCATTCTACAACTTAAATGCATTGTGGGAATGTAAACATTGCGAACGTTGCCGTGTCGCTGTTTAATTGTGAGTCGAACTGAGACATTATATCTGTCGAAAAATATAAACGCAATGTTTCCACCAGTGATGTTAGCCGAATGAAGCAACTGGAAACCAAGAAACGAGGTGCAACGGAGTAGTTTACTGTAGGAGGCTGTACGAGGCGATGACAACTGACATGCATCGTGACGTCGGTTACCATGGCAGTGACGTCATTAGTGTGACGTCATGCAATTATTGTACTACAGTACAAAACTCTTCCGCAACCTCTTTATGAAACCGGTTTCGGTTTGAAACCAAAAACATAACAAAAATACGCTATTTTGTCAATTTAAATACATGTAAGACGTGGGTAATAAATAAAATCCACACTCGGTCTCATTACATACGAATTATACGAAACTAGTGACCTTCCTATGTTATCTGACCTCGCTTTCGCTCGGTCAGATACCATAGGAAGGACACTCATTTCGTATAATTCGTATGTAATGAGACCTCGTGTAGTATTCTCTATTTACGACCTCATCAAACAGGGGCAGTCTGTGACGTCTTAGTTAAGGTCATGCCGCCTACACCTCGCCATAAAATAAAAAAATACGATGTTTTTTAAGTTTAAAATTAAAATTAACTTATAAATATCATTTTCTTATGAAACAAGGAATTGAAATTCAGTGTAACCATAGTTAGTTTGTACAGTCTCTTTTCACTTTCACACGAGAAAAGACCCGGGGTTGATTCCCCACATGGGTACAATGTGTGAAGCCCTTTTATGGTGTCCCCGCCGTGATATTGCTGGAATATAGCTAAAAGCGGTGTAAAACTAAACTCACTCACTGTGTAGGAAGGGATTCTGGTGGTTGATGGCAAAGGAGCCATGAACCGTATTCTTTTTGCCCAACACACTATTTCAACTCTAACTTCAACTGGACGCGTAGTCGAATCGGTCCGGTTCTATGAAACAGCTAGTCAGGCCAAGCCCTGTGCAGGGTGGGTATATTTAAGAAATACACTTCGCTCTACCACCATGTATAGTGTAATAAAACACACTTTTGCCCTGAACTATTATAGTTAAAGCACGAGGACGCTTGCGTCCGAGTGCTTTAACGTTATAATGGTTCAGGGCGAAAGTGTGTTTTATTACACTTTAAACCTAAATTGGAGTTGGTTAGTTCCATGGGCACAAGCCATTAGTTCCTAGTGGGAAGCCAATAGTGCGAAGTAGGGCGCCAATAGTGCTAAGTAGGGCGCCAATAGTATTAAGTAGGGCACCAATAGTGCTAAGTAGGACGCCAATAGTACTAGGACTATTTTTCGGTCTACTGAATTGGTGAAACCTATTCCACTACTCACTGAAGCCTTTTCAAAATATACAAACAAAAAACACAAACCATTCGGGAATTTATTTTTCTCTACATTTTGAACGAAATCTTGGTTCCCTTTCTCTCAACTGTAAATGATATTGGCGTGGTTTGAGACTTGTCCGGAGCTGGCGAGGAAGTGCATGAGGATTCCTGGCGGGAAGAGCATGGTAATGTCGCAGCAGAAGTTGCAGGCTTTGCTCGACGTTTGTTTTGTACGACGTCGTCGACAACCTTCAGCAACTGGTCGCTTGTCCGTTTGTACCTGTAGGAAGGAACACAGTATTAATCTGTCCTATCAGTATGCACAATGCATGATAACATTCTTCTGAATTTATACATTAGGTTTTAATAATTAAACCTAAATTGGAGTTGGTTAGTTCCATGGGCACAAGCCATTAGTTCCTAGTGGGAAGCCAATAGTGCGAAGTAGGGCGCCAATAGTGCTAAGTAGGGCGCCAATAGTATTAAGTAGGGCACCAATAGTGCTAAGTAGGACGCCAATAGTACTAGGACTATTTTTCGGTCTACTGAATTGGTGAAACCTATTCCACTACTCACTGAAGCCTTTTCAAAATATACAAACAAAAAACACAAACCATTCGGGAATTTATTTTTCTCTACATTTTGAACGAAATCTTGGTTCCCTTTCTCTCAACTGTAAATGATATTGGCGTGGTTTGAGACTTGTCCGGAGCTGGCGAGGAAGTGCATGAGGATTCCTGGCGGGAAGAGCATGGTAATGTCGCAGCAGAAGTTGCAGGCTTTGCTCGACGTTTGTTTTGTACGACGTCGTCGACAACCTTCAGCAACTGGTCGCTTGTCCGTTTGTACCTGTAGGAAGGAACACAGTATTAATCTGTCCTATCAGTATGCACAATGCATGATAACATTCTTCTGAATTTATACATTAGGTTTTAATAATGAAACCCAATACATCTTATCATAACTTTCAAGTTTGGATATTAAATTTTAAAATATTGGTGTGTTTTTTCAGTACGTATGAATGAACGCGTGTATATATTAGATAAAATACAAATGAGAGTTACTTACTCTCTGATTGCCGAGGATCTATGTCCGGTTCTTTCGGCGATCAGCTGCTCGTCTATGCCGGACTCGTATAGGCGTGTGGCTGTCGTAGCTCGGAGAGAATGGTTTGTGAAGAATCCCTTAAAGCCAGCCATTTCGCACAGCCTCTTCACAACGCCAGACAAGGTGTGCCTCCCCACTGCTACGGAGCAGTACCAAGTGTCAGGCTTGGGGTATTTCAAAAGCACGGACGTAAAATGCGTCGCACTCACTTGGTCTGTTCAAGAAAGCAGTAAAACGTTTTGTTATAAAGACAGACTCTGTGTTTCGAAATTGTCATAAAATAGAAAGTGGGCTTGCAGCGCAAATTCAAAGTATGTTCTAATTCTAAAACGAAAAGTAAACGTTTATTAGATTTATTAAACGAATCAAACCCCACTGTCAACTGGCAACGAATAGACTTTTAGGGTTTGTTATGCGATTTATGTGATTAGAAGACCATATCATGATGAGAAGACCATATCATGATCAGTCAGGTAGAAATAATACGTACAACCTTTCTTTGAATGAAAACTTCATACATTACATACAGTACTACGTGAACAGTAAGCATGGATCAACGCCGCTTTGAGCACTATTCCAGCTATATTACGGCGTATCAGCTAAAAGTGGAAGGAAAGCTCCAAATGTCGAGATGTGTCGCACGTGTAGAACTTCCTGGCATGCACAAGGGACGCAACTCTGCATAGCGAACAGTGGCATCTGAGACTACCCTTTCTGTCGTAATCATGCAAGGATTAGAACTTTGTGGGTGCCTTTTCAGCAATAATAGTTGAGAGTTATGCCAACAAACTGATTGGTGAGGGTATTAAAATACATTGTGCGGTTTATATCACTGCAGTATAACAATAACTATTGTGAACGCCATTTTCATGGGGGTGTGGAGGTGTGGGGTGCGGAATTGTGAGATGTTGGGGCATGAGGTGTGGTGAGTTAATATTTAACGTCACAGCGGCAATATCTCAGGCAAATGGTGACGAGAACAATCTGTACAAATAAATTAATGATAAATTGTAAAACCCTGTCAACAAAGGACAGTAAAATTACAAGAATATCACAGTTATGAACGTGAAACTAGCATGAAGAAATAAAACATTTCAATTTAGGAACACGTTACAATATAAAACATGGGCTATAGAAGGTTGACCACCATAATTAGGGTCCATGGGGACTTATGTAGGTGTGAAGATGTTGGGTTGTGGAGGTGCGGGATGTTGAGGTGTGGGGTGTGGGGATATTACAGTTACACTATATCAGCACAAACCTTAATGACATGTACTTCTCATAAATCCTGACAGGACATCGTTGGGGATTTTCCTTATTTTCTGCAACTACCACACACTTAGGACTTACATTTTTGTGTTTCAGACCTCCGTTGTTTGTTTTTGTCACACCCTCAGAATATCGTAAATGCTTTTGACCATTCTTCATCACAATGCTGAAATTGCCTCTTTCCCCAGTTTTCAACGAATGATGTTCATCCCCACCCCGAAGACAAAAGCATATACCATTTATGTAAAACATTGTGTCCAGAAGTTTTTGTGGTGTTTCATCGCCCAGTATCCCCTTCTGCCATAGTAAATCCTCCTGTTCGCGAGTTATCACGTCAGCTTTTCGCTTATGAATACCGATTCCACTCTGGGCCAATGATCTCATTTTTGCGTCTAACATTTGTAGAGGGGCAAATTCAAAATCAGCATTGAAGTTTACATCCCTACCGTTTTCCCGGAGGAAATACTGAATTGACATGAGGATTTCATGAATGGTATTTCCATGGTATTCGCCTCCTTTCTGGTTTTTCACTTCTGTCACAAACAATACCAATTGTTTACATAAATCCTCATCACTTAACTTCAAAGAGTCTGCCCAAAACGTAAATCTGTGCCCTTTCTTTCCTTGTACCATGAGTCAAATATACGAACGGCCCACTGACATTTTTTGTCAGTATTTTTATTTTTAGACATATTTTGTAAATCCATACATTCCTCGTTGGTCAGGGGCTTTCCAAAACGAGAAGAACTAGTGCAGCTGGAAAATTCTTTTTCAATTTGTTGTGAAGCGCAAAAGCTCTTCATCAGAGGAATCATTGCCTACTTTTATTTCAGATTTGTCAGAGTCATATTCAATATCAAAATCGGGCTTTGCATAGTCTGAATCTATCAGTTCTTGAAACTCAGAGTATATGTCTGTTTCATCAAATGAAATCTCAGCATCTTGTGAGAATTTGGTCTGGGTAAGGAATATTTCTCCATCGGTGTCGCTCGACATACTCACTGAACGTGTAAATCTCAATGTGGTTGTTGCAACTATCATGCGATGTATCGCCGCGCTTATAAAGGTCTCCAATAGTCGCGATATCGCGAAAAATGCGTGCTTCTCGCTTTTTTCACACCAGCTGTAGCTGCTCTATTTTTTAAGACGCCAATATCCAACAACTTGGATAGCGGAGTCTTGAATTTAGGTTTAAGTAGAATAGACTCCTCAAACACGACAATAGTTGTGCACGAAGTCTAGTCCTCATGCTACAGCGCCTCGGACTAAACATCGTGCACAACTATTAATCGTGTTTTTCGAGTCTATTCTATCTGAAACAATACATCTTATCATAACTTTCAAGTTTGGATATTAAATTTTAAAATATTGGTGTGTTTTTTTTCAGTACGTATGAATGAACGCGTGTATATATTAGATAAAATACAAATGAGAGTTACTTACTCTCTGATTGCCGAGGATCTATGTCCGGTTCTTTCGGCGATCAGCTGCTCGCCTATGCGGGACTCGTATAGGCGTGTGGCTGTCGTAGCTTTCGGAGAGAATGGTTTGTGAAGAATCCCTTAAAGCCAGCCATTTCGCACAGCCTCTTCACAACGCCAGACAGAGTGTGCCTCCCCACTGCTACGGAGCAGTACCAAGTGTCAGGCTTGGGGTATTTCAAAGCACGGACGTAAAATGCGTCGCACTCACTTGGTCTGTTCAAGAAAGCAGTAAAACGTTTTGTTATAAAGACAGACTCTGTGTTTCGAAATTGTCATAAAATAGAAAGTGGGCTTGCAGCGCAAATTCAAAGTATGTTCTAATTCTAAAGCGAAAAGTAAACGTTTATTAGATTTATTAAGCGAATCAAACCCCACTGTCAACTGGCAACGAATAGACTTTTAGGGTTTGTTATGCGATTTGTGTGATTAGAAGACCATATCATGATGAGAAGACCATATCATGATCAGTCAGGTAGAAATAATACGTACAACCTTTCTTTGAATGAAAACTTCATACATTACATACAGTACTACGTGAACAGTAAGCATGGATCAACGCCGCTTTGAGCACTATTCCAGCTATATTACGGCGTATCAGCTAAAAGTGGAAGAAAAGCTCCAAATGTCGAATGTGTCGCACGTGTAGAACTTCCTGGCATGCACAAGGGACGCAACTCTGCATAGCGAACAGTGGCATCTGAGACTACCCTTTCTGTCGTAATCATGCAAGGATTAGAACTTTGTGGGTGCCTTTTCAGCAATAATAGTTGAGAGTTATGCCAACAAACTGATTGGTGAGGGTATTAAAATACATTGTGCGGTTTATATCACTGCAGTATAACAATAACTATTGTGAACGCCATTTTCATGGGGGTGTGGAGGTGTGGGGTGCGGAATTGTGAGATGTTGGGGCATGAGGTGTGAGTGAGTTAATATTTAACGTCACAGCGGCAATATCTCAGGCAAATGGTGACGAGAACAATCTGTACAAATAAATTAATGATAAATTGTAAAACCCTGTCAACAAAGGACAGTAAAATTACAAGAATATCACAGTTATGAACGTGAAACTAGCATGAAGAAATAAAACATTTCAATTTAGGAACACGTTACAATATAAAACATGGGCTATAGAAGGTTGACCACCATAATTAGGGTCCATGGGGACTTATGTAAGGTGTGAAGATGTTGGGTTGTGGAGGTGCGGGATGTTGAGGTGTGGGGTGTGGGGGATATTACAGTTACACTATATCAGCACAAACCTTAATGACATGTACTTCTCATAAATCCTGACAGGACATCGTTGGGGATTTTCCTTATTTTCTGCAACTTCCACACACTTAGGACTTACATTTTGTGTTTCAGACCTCCGTTGTTTGTTTTGTCACACCCTCAGAATATCGTAAATGCTTTTGACCATTCTTCATCACAATGCTGAAATTGCCTCTTTCCCCAGTTTTCAACGAATGATGTTCATCCCACCCGAAGACAAAAGCATATACCATTTATGTAAAACATTGTGTCCAGAAGTTTTTGTGGTGTTTCATCAGCCCAGTATATCCTTCTGCCATAGTAAATCCTCCTGTTCGCGAGTTATCCGTCGTCAGCTTTTAAGCTTATGAATACCGATTCCACTCTGGGCCAATGATCTCATTTTGCGTCTAACATTTTTCCGTGAGGGGCAAATTCAAAATCAGCATTGAAGTTTACATCCCTACCGTTTTCCCGGAGGAAATACTGAATTGACATGAGGATTTCATGAATGGTATTTCCATGGTATTACGCCTCCTTTCTGGTTTTCACTTCTGTCACAAACAATACCAATTGTTTACATAAATCCTCATCACTTAACTTCAAAGAGTCTGCCCAAAACGTAAATCTGTGCCCTTTCTTTCCTTGTACCATGAGTCAAATATACGAGACGGCCCACTGACATTTTTTGTCAGTATTTTTATTTTAGACATATTTTGTAAATCCATACATTCCTCGTTGGTCAGGGGCTTTCCAAAACGAGAAGAACTAGTGCAGCTGGAAAATTCTTTTCAATTTGTTGTGAAGCGCGCAAAGCTCTTCATCAGAGGAATCATTGCCTACTTTTATTTCAGATTTGTCAGAGTCATATTCAATATCAAAATCGGGCTTTGCATAGTCTGAATCTATCAGTTCTTGAAACTCAGAGTATATGTCTGTTTCATCAAATGAAATCTCAGCATCTTGTGAGAATTTGGTCTGGGTAAGGAATATTTCTCCATCGGTGTCGCTTTCGACATACTCACTGAACGTGTAAATCTCAATGTGGTTGTTGCAACTATCATGCACGTGTATACGCCGCCTTATAAAGGTCTCCAATAGTCGCGATATGCGAAATGCACGTGCTTCTCGCTTTTCACACGCTGTAGCTGCTCTATTTTTAAGGCGCCAATATCCAACA